CAAGCAGGCTCCACACTGTCAGTGCAGAGCCTGATGCAGGGCTTGAACTCACCAACCATGAGATCATGACCTGAGCCAAAATCAAGAGTTGGACACTCAACTGACTGAGCCCCCCCGGCACCCCCGTGAGTTGCTTCTTGAAATCCGTTCTTTGTTTCATCATCTGTTTCCTTATTTGTGTGGCTTTCTTGTTTTCTTCTATATGGCAGAAGTGAATTTTTTTTTAATATTTACTCTTTTTTGAGAGACAAAGCACAAGCAGAGGAGTACCAGAGACAGAGGGAAACACAGAATCCAAAGCAGGCTCCAGGCTCTCGGCTGTCAGCACAGAGCTGGACGCGGGGCTCAAACCCACGAACTGTGAGATCATGACCTGAGCTGAAGTTGGCTACTTAACCCACTGAGCCACCCAGGCACCCCAAGAAGGGAATATGCTTTAAAAACACATACAGCAGGGCTGAAGCAGAATCTGAAGCAGATTCTGGATCTCCCTCTCTCTCTCTGACCCTCCCCTTCTCACTCTGTCTCTCTCTGTCTCAAAGATAAGAAAATAAAATAAAAAACAAAACACATACAGCAGAAACATACGGTGGACCACAGACTTGTTGGGAGAATCTGATAACCATGGAAAGTGTTTATACAAAGCCTGTCAGAGTACTTCTTCAGTACATGTTTATTATTAGTATCATCACACAAGGAAAATGAAGGGACAGAGAGAAAAGCAAAATAGGGTCTCTTGGTCCAGGGAAGGGACCGGGTGGAGAGAAATACCACTGTTAGAATAGACATTGGTCAGGGGGGATCTGGGGAGCTGGAGAAGGGGTGAGCAGATGGCTAGGGGAAGGGAAGAGAGGGGACCCCAAGGAGAAAGGGCCTCTCTATGCTCAGCACCTGGTCCTTGAGTTAATGAGAGGAGGGTCCGGCCCCTCCTCCCAGGAGGGCATACATTTGCATAAGATCCCTCATCTGCATGGCATCCTAGGAAATTTGCATATAGATGGCAGCCTGTGCCCTCAGCCTGACCCCTCCCAACTTGGCCAAGGGTCTGCCGGGAGAGGCAAGAGGAAGCTCCTGCAGGATCTAGGGCTCCAGGAAGTAAAAGCAAGTTTGCAATAAACTTCCCTTTTTGACAACCTTCTGTGGCTCCCTATTGCTCTCAAGTGCATGAGCCGCCCTTCGCTTGGCATTTAGGACCTAAGATGTTGCCCCTCACACATAGCCCACGGTTCCCTCTCTCACACATGCCCCCGCCTTGCGTCTTCATGACGTAAGTATTCCTGGAATGCCCTTCCCCATTTCCCCCATTGTCATAAAGCTTGCTTGTCCTTCAAGGCCTGGCATCTTGAAGTATTCTGCAAAGTCTTCACTCTCCGTTTCCTGACCTGGCAACTTTACAGGAATCTGTGCCTCTTTGGGACTCCTCTAGGTTTTATTTAGTAAGGATATGTTTGGTTGCAATTGACCAAAAAAAAACAAAAACAAAAAAGGAAGTAAAAAATGTGCATAAATGAAAAGGGAAATTATTCATTCGTATAACCAGGATGATCAAAGGCTGACTGTCTTCAGGCATAGCTGGATCCAGGGACTCAAATAGTCTCATCAGAAAGCCGTCCTGGGGCGCTTCGGTGGCTCAGTCCGTTAAGCATCTGACTTTTTTTTTTTTTTAGTTTATTTATTTATTTTGAGAAAGAGAGAGACAGAGAGTGGGGAGGAGCAGAGAGAAAGAGAGAATCCCAAGCTGGTTCTGAACTCTCAGCAAGGAGCCCAACTTGGGGCTTGATCTAATGAACTGAACCGTAAGATCATGACCTGAGCTGAAATCAAGAGTCAGTCACTTAGGGGCCCCTGGGTGGCTCAGTCGGTTGGGCATCCGACTTCAACTCAGGTCATGATCTCACAGTTCCTGAGTTCAAGCCCCACGTCGGGCTCTGTGCTGACAGCTCGGAGCCTGGAGCCTGCTTCGGATTCTGTGTCTCCCTCTCTCTGCCCCTCCCCCGCTAATGCTCTGTCTCTCTCCATCTTTCAAAAATGAACAAACATTTAAAAATTAAAAAAAATAAAAATAAAAAGTCACTTAACTGAGCCACCCAGGTGCTTTAAGCATCTGACTCTTGATCTCAGCTCAAGTCTTGATCTCAGGACCCTGAACTTAAACCTTGTGTTGGAGGGTGAAGCCTACTTAAAAAAATAAATAATAATGGGGCGCCTGGGTGGCTCAGTCGGTTAAGCGTCCGGCTTCGGCTCAGATCATGATCTCACGGTTCGTGGGTTCAAGCCCCACATCGGGCTCTGTTCTGACAGCTAGCTCTGAAACCTGGAGCCTGTTTCAGATTCTGTGTCTCCCTCTCTCTCTGACCCTCCCCTGCTCATGCTGTCTCTCTCTCTCAGAAATAACTAAAACATTAAAAGTAAATAAATAAAGGAATCTTCTTAAAAAATTAATAAGTAATAAAAAATAAGATAAAATAATAAAATAAAAATCTGATAAAAAATAGTGTGCTCCTTTACTATTCATTCAAGAGGAAGTCTCGGGGCTAATTTCCATTGGGTGGGAATGAGCCCCACCCCCACCCCTGAACCAATCCCAGTGGCCGAGGGATCAAATGCACTGATTGGCCAGGACAGGATCAGGCTCACTGATTGGCCAGGACAGGATCAGGCTCACTCGGACCGGAAGGACTGAGTGCAGGGGACGCCCTATAGGAAACCTTGGTGGTAGGGCAGTAGACTCTTGGAAGAAGAAAAAAAGGTTACAGGTTGCCAGGCAGGTAAATACTTGGCACCAACTCCAAAGCTCCCCAGGAAGCCTTTGGCCTTGTGCCTGTACCTCCCGGCAGCTGCGGCTCTTCAGGGAAGTGCCATGGGACCTCTCGACACTGAAAGCTGGCTTCTCAGGCATGAGCCCCACCCAGGCATTTGTCAACAAGCATGGCAGTGCTCAGCGTTAAGGCTGCCCACTTCTGAATGTTAGGGGAGTTAAAGTCCAGCTTACCTCCCTGGGGCTTCCCTCCTGGGCGCATTTGGCCAGGAGGGCTGAGCTCACTCACTGAAAGGCCCAGAAAAGAGCAGGTGCTACAGGGCCTTCCCGGAAGAAATCTCCCTGAGGACTGCGTATTTTGTTGAGGGGAGAAAGGGAAGTGGCGAGAGAGGCAAGGATATCACAAAGCAAATTAGTGGCAAAGGCCTCACTAAAAGCCAGAGATCCTGGCCCTCTAGTCTGGCCCCAGACTGGGGAGAGGACAAAGAGATCATATTTATTATTATCCACCTATTTGTCCAGCTGGGCTAATACCAGGCCCGTGCCAAGCCTGAGATACATGCCTTGTGGAGGGCACGTAGGGTAGAGAGGGTAAGAACGCAGACTGGCTGGGTTAAAATCCCTGCTTGTTCCTTTCTTGCTGGGTGGGCCCTGGATTTGCCATTTTGTAACTCTGTTCCAAGTGGCTTTCATCTCTCTGTGCCTCAGTTTCCTTATCCCCTAGGGTCAGATGTGGGTTATTTGAGATAAAGTGCACTGAGTGTGTACCCGGCACACGGTAAGGGCTAAATACAGTTATTAACAGTATTACCAAGCCTCGAAGGCAGGTCAGTAAGAGTCTCTCCTACTCTGAGACCTCGCCCTTTGGGGAGGAGAGCTCAGGCGTGTGGCGTCCGAAAGGAGGGTGAGTCTAGGGGCTCGTCTTTCTGGGGACAAGAAGGTTTCAAGCATCTGCCCCCAGCTGATCGGCACCCTCACCCGAGAGGAAACGGAAAGGAGGGGTTTCAGGCGCTCCCGCCCTCACCCCCCTCACCCCGACACACTGGGCGGCCTCACCAGCTCCCCCGGTCAGCCCCAGGAATGTGAAGAGGTAGGTGGGGGTGGGGAGGAGCGGGCGCCGCCGGAGAGAGACAAAGGGGCCGAGTCAGAGCGAGAGACACACAAAGACGCGAGGAGGCTGGGAAGATAGAAGTGGGACAAGGACAAGGGGAGGGACGGGCGGAATCCGGAGGCCCGACCCTCGCCCAGCCCCGCAGGGCCGGCGAGGCGCGGGGGGGCGGTCTGTGCTGCCCCCTGGCGGGAGGCCGCGGTCACGGGGAAGTACGGACCGAACAACGCAGGAGGAGAGGACAGGGGGAGGCCGGGAGCGAGAGCCACAGAGAACAGAGGCAGGAACAGAGAAGAGATCGAGAAGACACATAGAGATCGAGACACAGCGACAGAGTCAAAGGGATGGAAAGAGACGGTGATAGAAAGACAAAGAGAGCAGAAGTACGAGAGACACAAAGCGACACCGACACGTGCGGCCTCCAGAGACAGAGGAGATCCAAAGATAGTGAGGGACACAAAGCCCAGAGACACTGAGAGAGGCACAGAGGAATCTGGAAAGGAATGGCGCGGCGACGCCCAGAGTCCGAGGCAGAGATTAGAAAGACGTAGGATAAACCGAGACGCACCCAGTAGCGAGACAGACACTGGACGAGGGGCAAGAACTAGGAAAGTCTCGTCGCGGACCTGGGGGGGGGGGTGGGAGGGGCGGGTTTCGGTTTGGGGGCGGGGCTCCAGGGGGGCGGGCCTCTGAGAACCCACGTGCCTCACGCAGGTGTGACGACGCTTCAGCTAATACTGAAGAGGCGGGATAGAACTTCCTGCCGGGCTGAGACCAGGCGGGACTGAGCTCCTGGGAAGAGGCTGGACACCCACTGCCAGCCGACCTGGTGGGCGGGGCCTCATGGGGGCGTGGCTTCACGGGGGCGGAGACCGCCGTAAGCTCCGGAGAGGGCGTGACAGAATCTTAACGAGCCAGCCGGAGACGGGGGCGGGCGCGAGCGGCCTCCTGGAGGGCAAAAGGGGCGGGGCTTGAACGCCAAGGGAGGCGGAGATTAAATTCTGGGGGAGGGGCAACATCGAATCCCGGGGAGAGGCAGGTGTAAAATCCTGGGAGGGGGCGGGGGCAGAATACTGGGCGGGGCGGGAGTAAAATCCCGGGGAGGACCCGCGTGGAATCTCAGAGAGGGCGGGACAGCGTGAGCCTGTGGGGCCGGAGCCCAAGGTCGGCTCCGCGGGGGGGGGAGGGAAGGGGTGGATCCTGTGACGTCAGCGAGTCCGAGCTGCCAGAGAGAAGCCTGGGGCCGGGGGCGCGGAGCGGGGAGAGCCCGGCCCCGAGAGCAGAGCCGCGGGAGCAGAGCGGGCGGGAATCGGCCGGGAGCCGGAGCCCCTCAGGCACTTGCTCGACCGCCCAGCCGAGCGGCGCTCACGGAGTGGCCCGCAGGCCCCCGCCCGGGCCCAGTCCCACCCCGGGCCCCTCCATGGCCCGGGCCGCAGCCCTCTCGCCGTCGAGATCGTCGCCGACGCTGCCTCTCCTGCCGCTGCTGCTGCTGCTGCTGCTGCTCTGGGAAACCGGTGAGAAATCGCATACGCCCGCCCGCCGCGCGGACCCAACCCCTTCCCCACCTTCTGAGTGGGGAAAGACTGAGCACCTTCCCCGTTCTACTCCCAGTTCACCGAGCCCCGGCCCCACTGACTCCGACCCTATCTCTCTGCCCACCCCCCCCCACACACACACCTTTCTTAATCCCAACTCTCCATCCTACACTGGACTTCGCGGTTATCCCCTCCCCCTTCCTCGGACTCTTAACACCAAAAGGGTTAAATCTGAGTCTCCGCGCCCCCCACCCCACCCCTCACCGAGCTGTCAACCCGGATCTGAGGTTCGGTCTCCGCTTCCCCGCTCAGGCATGTGGGGAATTTCTCCCCCCACCCCGCTCCCCAGCGGGAGGGCCTCGGTGAGGAGACAAGACCACCCCCCCATTTCCCTTCTCCCAGGGTTGGGCGTTTGAGGCCTTGGGAGAGCTGAGCGCAGGGGGCCAGACGTCCAGGTTCTCCAGAGGGCGGGGGGCTGGGACTTCGGGTTCCTTGGAGGGCCAAGGAGGAGAGTTCCGGAGACCTGGGAAGGGCCTGAGGACTCCGACCTCGAGCCTCAGGGAGCCGAAGGCTCCGACTCTTGGGACCCAGAAAACAAGGGGCTGGAGCCTGGCTCCTGGGCCCCAGACAAATTAGAGCTCAGGGTCTGTCTCATGAGTCCCAAGTAGAATGAAGGCTAGGGGCTATGTGTACTGGGGTCCTGGTCGAACTGGGGGCAGGAAGGGCTCAAACTTGGGTTCCAGACTGTGAGCAGGGGCTCTGTCTCCTGGGTCCCAGGTAAAACGGGGTGTGTGTGGGGAGGCCGAAGAGGCCCTATCTTGTAGGCTTCGGGTTTAATTGTAGGCATTGGAATGTCTCTTGAGATACAGATAGAAATGCGGGCGGAGTACCCGGTTCTTGGCTTATAGATGTAATCAAGGTCTGGCGGCTCTATCTGGAAGCTGGAGCTCTGTCGGCCTCGTCCCCGGCAGAAAGAGGCCCAGGCCGGCAGGCTGGGACCCTTCCCTTTCCTTGTGAGCCGTCGGCTGGGACGTCCCTGGGGAAGTTTTACCGGTTTCACTTTAGCTGAACCCGGGCGGGGAGGGGCGGGGAGCTCTCCCCGGCTCCCGGTTCCGGACTCCCGGGTTTCGGGACCTTATCTTTTCTCGGGTCGCGCCCTTGGAGCCGCCCCGGGGGGGTGGGGGGTGGGAGGGGGGTGGACCCGAGGAGCCGCTGCCCTAATCCCCCGCCCCTCCCTCTGCTCTCCCCACCAACTCCCTCCCAGTCCCCTCTACCCCTCTGAGGGAGGGCGCAGCTCTCCGAGGCGGGAGAGGCTGGGATGAAACAGGTGAAGGTTCTGGCCCCGCCCCTCGCAGGTGACCGGGCTGTTTATTCCCAGCTAGAAACTCTGGATACTGGAGTTTCCCAAGGGTTTGCCCAGGAAGTGTAGGCAGGAGCGAGGGGAGGGGGGTGTCTTGGGGGAACCCTGAACCCTGGATACCCCTCTGACCTCATCTTTCCCAGCGTGTCTCTGACTTGGATCGCAAGCCTTTACTCCGAGTTGGGTACTGCCACTCCCTCGGCGGCAGAGATAGGGAGATGAGGTCAGGACCTGCCACTTCTCCTGAGGAGAAACGCTCCGAACCCACCTGACCTTGAGCCAGGCTTTGACCTGGCGCGTGATCTCATGGAGAATTCTAGATCCGCCCTAAAAGACAGGTCCTGTTCCTTTTTCCATTTTGCACATGGGGACACAGAGGCTTAGAAAGGGCAAGCCCCATTCCCAGGGTCCCCAGCCATTCCCCTGGAAGCCAGACTGGCTGACTTCAGAGCCTTTCTTGGCTCTGCTCCGCCAGGTGCCTCTGAGCCTCCATTTCCTCCTTTGTAAAACGGAGATAGTAACCCCTTCCCTCCAGGGCCATTGGGAGGTGGCAGAGGCCTCACTGAGCCAGTGTGAAAGTTCTTAGCGCCTGGGGGGGGGGGCCTTCCGCGTTCCTGACCTCTCAGCCTTATGCGTTAGCATCCCGCTTTCCTCTCTGCTTTTCTCCCCCCTTTCCTCTCTCCCTCGGTCTCTCCCTCCTTCCCTCACTTTCTCTCCGTCCCCTCCCCTCTTCATTTCTCACCTCTCTCTGCTTCTGTGGCTCTCCCATCTCTCACAGAGCTCTTTCTGTCTCTCCCTTCCATCCATTTCTCTTTACCTGTCTCTGGCTCCTCGGCCTCCTCCGGGGACTGGGGGCTCCTCACCTGGGCGTCCTGCTGGGCTGCCTCCTTTCCAGTTCTCCCTAACCTTCACCCCTCAACCCGGCAGCCAGGCAGCCCCACAGTAGCGGCGGGGGGATGGGAGGAGAGGGGGTGGAGGGCCTGCTGTCTCTTCTCCTTAGGGAAGGGGGACTGGGCAGCGAGGTGGGGGTGGGTCTGCTCACATGCTGGGGGAGGGGAGCAGGGAAGGGATACACAGAGAGGGATGGAGACACGCACAGAAGGCGACGCTAGGGACGGGATCAGGGATCAGAGACAAACGCTAGAATGGAACGGAGAGGTGGAGAGGATGAAATGCGGCCCCCACGGTGGGTGGGACAGAAAGAAGCTGAGGTGGGGCCAGAAAGATGGAGGAAGGGGAGGGAGCTGGACAGACACCAGGATAAAGGCAGGAACCGCCTAAGGAAAGAGACCTAGAGCCTTGGTGACTGACTGGGTGCCCAGAAGCGCCCAGCCAGCAGGGACAGCTGCCAGGACCCCGGCAGGCCAGGGCACAGGCCAGTCTCAGGGCCAGCAGTATGTGGGGGCACAGGGAGTGGTGGCCATAGAAAGGACAGGGAGTTAGGGACACTGGCCGGCTCCCCCGCCCCACCAGGGACGCTGTTACATTTTTAATGTCCCGGCCATGCGGAGAAATGGAGCAGGGGGAGGAGGAGGAGAGAGAGGCAGTGAGGTGGCCCCGGGCCTAGAGAAAGGGTGTCAGAGATGTGGAGAGACAGGCAGAGGTGGGGAGGCAGGGAGGCCCCAGGGTCAGAGACATAGAGAGACTGTGAGACATGGACACCAGAAACCCCGAGAGTTTAGAGACCTCAGGAGTCAGTGCAGGGAGCCGAATTCCAGAGACTGGGAGACCCACACCCAGAAAGACCCGGCTCTCAGATGCCAGGCACGGAGGAGAGAGAATACGAGAACAGCCTAGGACGCGGGCCATCTTGGGCCAGTGAAAATGTTGAGTGAGATGGCCTGCCGTGAGAGGGCCACTAATCTATGAATATTCTAACGCCACCGAGCTGTGCGCTCTGAATGGGCAGGTTGGATGGTATGGGGATTATATCTCAATGAAGCTGTTGGAGGGGCGCCTGGGTGGCTTGGTCGGTTAAGCATCCAACTCTTGATTTCGGCTCAGGTCATGATCTCACAGTTTGTGGGATCGAGCCCCGTGTCAGGCTCTGTGCTGACAGCGAGGAGCCTGCTTGGCATTCTCTCTCTCTCTCTCTCTCTCTCTCTCTCTCTCTCTGAAAATAAATAAATCAACTTTAAAAAAAAAATAAAGCTGTTAGAGAGAGAATATGACAGACACAGAAAGCAGAGACTCCGAGAGACAGAAGCAGAAACCAGACACTCTGTTCGTTGAAGACATAGGGACAGACTCAGGGCCCAGGAACTAGATGCAGACAGAGATCAAGGTGAAGGACCTGCCAGGGCGGGGGGTGAGGGTGGGGCTCAGAGTCTCCAGGATGGAACCATTTTGGGGTAAAGGTACACTGGACAGAGCTCTCACAGAGTGAGAGTTTCTGTGTGAGGGGCTCAACCAGGGAGGGCAGTTCCAGACCCCAGAGCGGGGGAACCTTCTGGGGTGGTCAGGCTGCTGCAGAAAGGCAGGGAAGTCTCCGCCTGGGGAGGGAGTGATAACCACCATCTGGGACATGATTGGGAGAGACAGGGAGGCAGGTGCAGAAAGCCAGGCACAGTCAGAGAGCCCCGTCTCCAGGCTGCGGCTGCTCTCGCCCCCCCCCCCTTCGGCCCAGCCCGGCTCCCGGATGTCCGCTGCGGGGCTGGGCACTGTGATTAATGCAATTAATTAATTAGCAAGGTGGCTGAGGCAGCAGCTGAGGCCAGCGCTCATAGCACGCTGGCCTTCAAGGGCCGGCTGGAGTCCTGCCGCACCCTACAGGGCAGGTCACAGCGTTTAAGTCTGGAGTCTGGAGGGGGTGAGCCAAGCCCTGAGGGTCCAGCAGGCAGGAGCCGGGAGTCAGAGCCCCCAGCCCCCTCCTCCTCCGGGGTGCCCTAAGTCACTATGCCTTGATCTTCCGTCCCCAGGCTGTGTGTCTCTGTCCCTCACAGTTTTCTCCCGGGGCTCATGCAATGCTCCAGGCACCACCCCCCCGGTGCCCCTCCCCACTGAAAACCTACAGGCCCAGGCCATGGGGACAGGAAGCATGTCTGCGGACCCAGGTGACACCTCAGGAAGCTGTCACCAGCCTGCCTTGCTGAGGGAAGCTCAGGGAGGCCCGTGTTCCCATGGCCAGACTCTCCTCCATTGTGGTGCCAGCCACATCCCAGCCAAGGTCAGGGCATAAGCACCTGCCCAACAGCGTGCTGGACCCCAGTGTCCTAAGTTCAGGCCGGCCACCCTCCTGGCTTCCGTTCTCTGGCTTCCATCTAAAATGCCAAGCCTCTGGGCACCAGCGCCCCCCCCCCATCCCCGTCCCTGACTCTCAGAGCCGCCTCACGTCCCTGGCCACTCCCTTCTGAACTTGCCACCAGTCTGGTTGATCCTTCTTCCTCACAGCCCCAACGCCCACATCCCTGCCCCATCCCATCCTGAGGGCTCTTCCAGAAGGCACAAACCTGGGGCACCTGGGTGGCTCAGTTGGTTAAGCATCTGACTTTGGCTCAGGTCATGATCTCACGGTGTGTGGGTTCGAGCCCCGCGTCGGGCTCTGTGCTGACAGCTCAGAGCGTGGAGCCTATCTTCGGACTCTGTGTCTCCCTCTGTCTCTGACCCTCCCCTGCTCATG